CTTCGCAAAAAAGAAGCCTTATAACCGCCTTCGCCAGCTGTGTGTTGACTGGACTTTGGCGTTGACCGTGGAGCAGCTTATTTACTATTGAAATTTGAACAACCAGTCGGATCGCCCAGCTGCCGCCGGGCTCTCCTCCTTCTAATGGGCTCGCCCGGCTTCGCCGGGCGGTGCCATTTCTAGAGTTCAAATAGAAATAGTTCCTAGGAAGGGCTGGTCCCTTCCATGAACAAGGCTTTGTCAAAATGAGAGCATGAGTTCTCCTAGTTTGCGCATAAGGCATCATGGATATCCCGACGTAATGCAAAATGGTCTAACAGAATTTGTGAAGCCATTTACCCTGAAGTTTATTTATTCATTTCAGGCGCGCTTAGAGAAGCTTTAGTTTCACAGTACTCAATGTATCATCTTTTCCTGGCACAACCTGACACTGGAACTTGGTTAGGTTCAAAAAAGATGAGAAGGCAATTGAAGCAACACAAATGGTCATGCTCTGTCTTCTGTGACTTAACTCTCGAACTTTGGGGGGACACATCCGCAGACCCTTCATCTTGTCCGATCTTGCAACGGTGCTTTCTTGCAAACACCTGACATTAACGTTTAGTGAGAGGAGAAGTTTAGGTACGAATATTTTTGACACACCTTTGGGTCATGCTTGGTCTTCTGCGACTTAACTTTTGAAATTTGGAGGACTTCATCGGCGCAGACCCTTCCTCTTCCCGATCCGTCGACGATACTTTCTTGCTAGCACCTAACATTGACGTTTAGTAAGAGGAGAAGTTTCAGGGTACGAATATTTTTGACAGACCTTGGGAGCCTTTCACTTGCAGACGTATCAATACCCGCGAAAATTATTTATGCTTGTCTTCCCGCGACTTAACTTCTGAAATTTGGAGGACTTCATCCGCAGACCCTTCCCTCTTGCGCCCGATCTTGCGACGGCGCTTCTGGCAAACACCTGACAGTACCGTTTAGTCAGAGTGATAATTTAAGGTACGAATATTTTTTGACAGACCTTGGGGGCTCTTCACCTGCGGAGTAACAACACCCACAAAAATTATTTATGCTTGGTCTTCCGCGACTTAACTTTTGAAATTTGGAGGAACTTCATCGGCAGAGACCTTCCTCTTGCCCGTTCTTGCGACGGCGCTTTCTTGCTATCATCTGACATTAACGTTTACTAATAGGAGAAGTTTAGGTACGAATATTTTTGACACACCTTTGGGTCGTGCTTGGTCTTCTGCGACTTAACTTTTGAACATTTGGAGGACTTCATCGGCGGACCCTTCCTCTTCCCGATCCGTCGACGATACTCTTCTTGGCACCCTTTCCTCTAGCCCGATCTTGCGACGGCGCTTCTGGCAAACACCTGCAGTACCGTTTAGTCAGAGTGATAATTTAAGGTGCGAATATTTCCGACAGACCTTGGGGGCTCTTCACTTGGAGACGTATCAGCACCACAAAAATTGGTCATGCTTGGTCTTCCGCGACTTAACTTTTGAACTTTGGAGGACTTCATCCGGCAGACCCTTCCTCTTGCCCGATCTTGCGACGGCGCTTCTGGCAAACACCTGACAGTACCGTTTAGTCAGAGTGATAATTTAAGGTGCGAATATTTCCGACAGACCTTGGGGTCTTCACTTGCGTGTACAGTGCGTTTCAAAAGTATGTGCACACCCTCAAAATTCACGTTTGAAAGGGAACCATGAGGTTTCGTGCTATGAAATCCTTCTCAATCGATTTCTCGTAGTCGATAACCTATCAATGGAAGCAAAGCAGATAATATCGCCTCACTTTCGAAAAAAATTTTGGATGAAATTTTTTTCTTTGTTTCAAAAGTATGTGCACACTTAACAAAAGACAAAAACATAGCTGAGATTAGAAATCAGTGGGGCCTCCAGAGTTTCTAATTAGCTCAAACATCCTGTCCGGCATAATCTGAACCACGTTTGGCATAGCTGTTTCGTCGCTGTCGGCCCAAATAGCCTCTACCGCCGCCTTCAGTTCATCCGCGGTATTATACTGCCGGTTGCTAAAGTTAACGCCTTGATCAAGGGCTCCCTATAGGGTTGCAGTAAGGAGGACACACAAGCCAATCTATCGCTTCAGCACCATTTGGTTAAGGCCATTCTTTGGTAGATTGCGAAGCATCGAAAGACACGTGGTCCTGTTGCTAAAAATGCAATTTTCGCTCCGCTTCGCTAAGGAAGGGCAACAGGTGACATTGGAGCACTGCTTGGTATTCTTTACAGTTCATACGCAATAATGGAACGGCAACTTCTGAATTTCCGCTGATTGCGAAACCGCCGCAGACCCATCAACGGGCCTCTTCCGAAATTCCTTCTCGAGAGCACGAGCGACTCACGGCCAAGCCTCTCCAGTAGTAGCAAAATCCACCCGGCCCGTCAAGATCGAACTCTTTCCATGAGTTAAGATTACCTGAGGAGAGAAAGTCCATAAAAAGTTGCTTGTTTTGAAAATAGGAAATTCTCGAAAAACCGTGTCTTCGCCCGGTGTCCTATCCTATGTTGCCATGTCTGTACGAGCAGACTCCAATGTGGCTAACTTGTGCTGGGCCTTGAAGTGAGTAGCCTTTCTCAGCGTCTGTCGAGTGGTGTATTCATTTGAGCGGATGAGGGGCTTAGTGGTCATTTTCGAGGCTGGAATAAAAATCTGAGCTCGGACTGTCAATGAAGAATCCGACAGGATGTGGGCTACTCTTTTGTTGTTCTGAGCAGTCAAGGATCGTGGATGGAGCGGAGTGTGTGCTGAGTATAATTATCAGGGTGCCAGATAAATCTTCGAATGCATTAAGGAGAACGACCAAGTTATCGTGCGATTTCTAGATTGGAACGTTCATTATCATGCAGAACCTTGATCTGAGCTTGCTCATCTTCAGGAAGAAGTATGGCGCGAATTGACATGATGACGAAATGAAAACAGCAAAGTCGGATTGAAATCGGTGGAAAATTCGGCGCCAAAATCTGATCTTCTTCAAGTGTGCACATACTTTTGAAACAAAGAAAAAAATTTCATCCAAAAATTTTTTCCGAAAGTGAGGCGATATTATCTGCTTTGCTTCCATTGATAGGTTATCGACTACGAGAAATCGATTGAGAAGGATTTCATAGCACGAAACCTCATGGTTCCCTTTCAAACGTGAATTTTGAGGGTGTGCACATACTTTTGAAACGCACTGTGTATGTCAACGCGCCACAAAAATTATTATGCTTGGTCTTCCGCGACTTAACTTTTGAAATTTGGAGGACTTCATCCGCAGACCCTTCCTCTTGCCCGATCTTACGCGACGGCGCTTCTGGCAAACACCTGCAGTACCGTTTAGTCAGAGTGATAATTCAAGGTACGAATATTTTTTGACAGACCTTGGGGGCTCTTCACCTGCGGAGTAACAACACCCACAAAAATTGGTCATGCTTGGTCTTCCGCGACTTAACTTTTGAAATTTGGAGGACTTCATCCGCAGACCCTTCCCTCTTGCCCGATCTTACGACGGCGCTTCTGGCAAACACCTGACAGTACCGTTTAGTCAGAGTGATAATTTAAGGTGCGAATATTTCCGACAGACCTTGGGGGCCTTCACTTGCAGACGTATCAACACCCACAAAAATTGGTCATGCTTGGTCTTCTGCGACTTAACTTTTGAAATTTGGAGGACTTCATCCGCAGACCCTTCCTCTAGCCCGATCTTGCGACGGCGCTTCTGGCAAACACCTGCAGTACCGTTTAGTCAGAGTGATAATTTAAGGTGCGAATATTTCCGACAGACCTTGGGGGCTTCACTTGCAGACGTATCAACACCCACAAAAATTGGTCATGCTTGGTCTTCTGCGACTTAACTTTTGAAATTTGGAGGACTTCATCCGCAGACCCTTCCTCTTGCCCGATCTTGCGACGGCGCTTTCTTGCTAACATCTGACATTAACGTTTACTAAGAGGAGAAGTTAGGTACGAATATTTTTGACACACCTTTGGGTCGTGCTTGGTCTTCTGCGACTTAACTTTTGAAATTTGGAGGACTTCATCCAGACCCTTCCTCTTGCCCGATCTTACGACGGCGCTTCTGGCAAACACCTGACAGTACCGTTTAGTCAGAGTGATAATTTAAGGTGCGAATATTTCCGACAGACCTTGGGGGCCTGCACTTGGAGACGTATCAACACCCGCGAAAATTGGTCATGCTTGGTCTTCTGCGACTTAACTTTTGAACTTTGGAGGACTTCATCGGCAGACCCTTCTAGCCCGATCTGTGCGATCGGCTTCTTCTGGCTAAAGCACCTGACAGTACCGGTTTAGTCAGAGGTGATAATTTAAATTCGATATATCCTACAGCCTTGGGGCTGCTACTTGGACGACGTATCAACACCCGCGAAAATTGGTCATGCTTGGTCTTCTGCGACAAAACTTTTGAAATTTGGAGGACTTCATCGGCAGACCCTTCCTGTTGCCCGATCTTGCGAGCGCTTCTGGCAAACACCTGACAGTACCTTGAGGTGCGAATATTTCCGACGGACCTTGGGGGCCTTCACCTGCAGATGTATCAACACCCGCGAAAGTTGGTCGTGCCTTGCCCTCAGCGCCGTAGCCTATTTTGGGAGACCACATCATCAAACATTAATTTTCTTTTTTCACCTACAGAACATTCTTGTATACGATGTTTCGGATTCTCTCCCGTGGAGACAGAACTTTTATCGAGCTTGCGTTTCGCACTCTTGATAAAGCGACGTAAAGTTGGCCATGCGAAAATACGTCATCGGGGAGATACACCCCCACTTTTGATAACGTCCTGACCTTGGCTTGTTGATGGTGGTTGCGAAGGCAAGGCGGATCGGAAATTGACGTCTTCGAAGGCGAAACGGTAGCCCTTTGTCAGTGTAATTGTCAATCCGAGGAAGGAGTACAATTGATTCTTTCTGATTCCGGCTGCAAAGCGACATCCAAGGACGAACCGACCACAGTGATCAACAATGAGCCTGGTTCCGTTACAAAGACCTTTGAAATATCAAGATTCGTAGTAGCATTACTATGCATCCTCGTTTGAGCTTGAGTTCATGAGGCGGCATTCCACTGGGATTCAGCTGGTTGAGAAACTCAACTTGGTAGTTCAGGCCGTCCTCTAAATCCGAATACTCCGCTTCATCTACACTTTTATACACCTTCATTTCGAATTCCTCAGACATCCGTTGGAGTGCCAATTCATTCATATGAGAAACATGAATATTTTTGGGCGCGAGAATTGCTTTTTCTGCAAGATTTTCAATGTCGTTCGCCTCGATTTTCTCACCGAAAATCTCAGTGATGAGGTCCCCTTCACTTTGAATTGAAGCCGGTAGCTCGATGAGACCATTCTGATCTTCTGGGAATGTTCCATTGCCGATCTGCAGAAGAATGTTTGCCCACTCCGTACTATCCGGAGAAACTCTCATGTTGTTTGTGAGATGAAGCGTAACGAAATATGACCACAAATCAGAACTCTTAATGCAGGCGTCTACTAAATCTTCTTGTTGTCCTCTCTCCACAACTGGGAGGACTTGCCGGAAGTCTCCTCCTATGACCATAAGTTTGCCTCCGAACGGGATCTCGTTCTGCATTATATCTTTGAGGAGAAGGTCCACGGCCTCGAGGGTCCATTTCGGAACCATGGATATCTCGTCCCAAAATATTACCGACACGTTACGAAGAGCTCTAGCCTCCCTTGATTCTCTTTTCATCGAGCACGTTCTGTTATTATCGTGGATGTTGAGCTTGAAAGTACTGCTAGCCGTTCTTCCGTTGGGAAGTAGGTTAGCAGCTATTCCCGTCCATGCCACGCAGATTACATTTTTTCTCATGCCAAGCAATGTGTGATACAGCGCAGTGTAGAGAAAAGTTTTTCCACTGCCTCCAGGACCGTCTATAAAAAAGTGTCGGCCGTCTGCGTTGTTCACAGTTAGCAAAATGTTATTCGCAGCTGCCCTTTGATGCTCGTTCAGTTGCTCGATTAACTGTTCTCCATAAGCAACATGTTCAGCTTCTGTGAGCTCGTCCTCGTTGAGAGGCGCTGGTCTACTCTCAGAAGGCGGGGTGATCAAGCTCCTGAGATCAGCACCGAAAATGGCCATCCTATCCATGATGTCAAAGTATGCACGAATAATGGCTTCTACAGGGTCAACTCCTCTATGAATGTAATCTTCTGCCATTGCACGTTTAAACTTATTCCACAGCTGCGCAGGCTCAATGACGGTACAGAAACAGAGGAGACTACTGAACAGGGACCTAAGTTGGACCGGCATGTGGAACTCGGATGCTTCACTTAAGCAGTTTTCGTAATGAGAATCGTCATTCATCAGCCCGAGCGCTTTAGCTGCTTCCTTGAACGTGTTGTGGACTACTCCATCTACAGTCTTCAAATCGTTGAACGACTTTGGTCCTCTTCTATTCAGGAGAAGGATTCTCAGGCTGTAGCGCTCGACGTCTAACGGATTCGCAGTGTACATTCTTCCAATTTGACGATTCTGCCTCCTTCTCATCTTCCACTTCCTCGTTCGTTGGTCAAAAGAGAAGAACTCTGGTATCTGTGTGTACAACAGCAATCTAGCATCCTTTTCTCTCTCAGGCACTTCTCCATTCCCGTAGAGGAGCTCATGTTCCTGGTTCAGCTTGAAAAAGGCGGTTAGTGTAGTGTCTCTTTCAGCTTCCCGACGGATTGCTTCTTCTTCTTGACCTCCTTGGAAATTCACAATTTGATAATCCGGCAGGTGAACCTGCAATCTGCAGACTGTATCCGATTTCGTTTGAAGGTCAAATCCAAGTAGTCTGTGTACAGCCTCTGGGGCACATACGTATCTAGCATTGACAAACTCATCGATCTCATTGATCACGCTGTTGTCTCGCTCGTCGGTGCTCCTCAGCATGTGCAGTGCCGCTCGGTCTGGCCCTTTGTATACGTATTTGTACATGTACTTAACCGCTTGAACCATACCACAGATTTCCACATTCAAATGGCCATTGTAACGAAGTGCCAAATACTTGTTGTACGGCACTACGGATCTGTTATCTAGTACTTTGCCTCCAGAAACCACAGTTCTGCCGTCGTTAGGTCGGCTATATTCCGGGTAACCATCATGTTCTGTAGTTGTTACATCTCGGAATTGCTTTGGGAACCTTTTCGAGCATTTCCCGTCAACCATACATGGCGAATGCGGGTTGTCAACTCCACATGGTCTGTGCATCATGCAGGATGTCACAATGCCATGAAGGCGAGGCTCTGTCTCTCGGTCAGGGATGACGGCTTGTACAATGGAGTCAATGTCAGTAATACTTCTTGGCTTGTCCTCCTCTGACAATGTAATGAGCATGTGGCAATGAGGCAACCCGCGTTTCTGCCATTCCATAACCGAAATATACGCTTTCACAACTCCAAATATCTGCCGCTTGAAGAGGTCCGTGAAAAGCTCTTGCAATTTGATGTTGAAAACGCGAGCAACGATGTCTGGCCTATCGGAAGGCGTCTGCCCAGGTTTCAGCTGCTCAGCGACCTCTCTCCATGCAGGATTACACGTGAACGTTATGAAGAGGTCTGGTTTACCATATTTCGAGACGATCGCCATGGCATCCTGATAGTTCTGAGCCATTGCTCGTGGAGATCCAGGAAAAGAGGAAGGTAGTATTACTCTCCTAGCACCTGGGGGTCCTCCGATGTCGTTATCTCCATTTACAAAATCGCACAGACCGCGGTAGCTATCCACTCTGAGTTCCACTTGGTGGGTACGGTCGTAGTTGAGTCGATTTTGTTCAATCTTCACATAGCTGTCTACCAAAAACTGTTGGTAAAGCTTTCCAGAATAATGTAGAGGATTGAAGTAGTCTCGAACGGCGATCATGTGAGAGTAGTATTCTTTCTGAGAAATTCTTGTTCGTCTCCTCTCAGAGGGGTTCTTATGCATATTCGGATGCCATCCATATTCTCCACGCGGGAAGAAAAGTGGATAAGTTAGTGGATCACACTCACGATCATATACTCTGACGTTCCGCAATCCTCCAGAATGTAGGTGCACAGCGAGACTATGCTCCGCTGGAACATCTCCATCACCTCCAACATACACAACAGCAACCTCGTTAGCTGTAGGTGCATTGTAAACACGCCGATCAACAGCCGCGGGAGTTTCGAACACCATTCGCACTGGTTTCGCAGATCGTCCTTCTCTTAAAGCGAGCACCTCCTCCTCCATCGCCACCTCGTTTAGCATTTTGTATGCATGTGCAAACGCATTTATCCGATGCAACAGTTCACTTAGAGAACGAATAATCTGAGGGTTACAATTGGTATTTGCTGGATTCCCCATCCGTTCCTCGGCTGCCATCGCGGTATCGAGAATGTAGACTTGCCCATAACGGTGGGGTTGACCATTCTCCGGACGTGCTGGTCCTATTCTGTGGTATATTTGGCCATGGATGCGAAAACAGTAAGGACCATGTCCACGTGGCGTATCCAATTGAGCCCCCATAGAGGCGAAAGCAAAGGCACTGTTGTAACTACGGATATGTTCGCGGAATTCCTTCGCTTCGCTTTCCTGACTTGTGAGCAGCGCATGAAGTTCAGCAGGATAGTCACTGAAGTGTCGCAAACTGATGTTGCCATGATTGCAACAGTCATTGAAGGTCCTTTTACCCTTGCATTCCGATTTGAAGTGTTTTGCCCCGCAACTTTCACATGTTACGTTCATCGGTCCATCGTAATATTCTTCCGGCTGTACATTCGTCCTGGCAACACCTCGCGTTTCATATGCCATGTTTCTGGCACGCGCGCGATATCTTTCAGCTTCAGTTGTACGTCTCTGATGACCTTCAGCTACTGTTTCGCGATCTCTACGTCTACGCTCCCGTTGCGCTGAAGCAGCATTGCGTTGCTGCCGCGAATCCTCATCTTCTTCCCGCCTGCGTAACCTTACTCTTACAGCATCTTCCATTCTGTGAATCTCTCGACTTTCTTCACTCTCCCGATACCTTCGGATCCGTGACCTTTCAGCCTCTCGTGCCAGTCTACTTTGCCTCCGATCATCGTCCTCTTGTTGTCGCGAAGCTCGAGCGCTATCAGCATTCCGGGCTAAGCGCGCTATCCTATGCTCCTCACCTTCCAGCTGCCTTCGAACTCGTGCTCTCTCAGCGTCCTCTGCAAGGCGCGTTTCCCATTGTTCCTGGTCCTCCTGCCGTCGTAGAAGTCGGACCCTCTCAGCGTTTTGAGCCAGCCGTGCTTCCGTTCTTCCTCGTCCTCTTCCTGACGTGAAAGTCGCATCCTCTCAGCGTTTTGAGCCAGCCGCTCTTCGCGTTCTTCCTCGTCCTCTTCCTGACGTGAAAGTCGCATCCTCTCAGCGTTTTGAGCCAGCCGCTCTTCGCGTTCTTCCTCGTCCTCTTCCTGACGTGAAAGTCGCATCCTCTCAGCGTTTTGAGCCAGCCGCTCTTCGCGTTCTTCCTCGTCCTCTTCCTGACGTGAAAGTCGCATCCTCTCAGCGTTTTGAGCCAGCCGCTCTTCGCGTTCTCTTCTCTTCCTCGTCCTCTTCCTGACGTGAAAGTCGCATCCTCTCAGCGTTTCGAGCCAGCCGCTCTTCGCGTTCTTCCTCGTCCTCTTCTTGGCGTGAAAGTCGCATCCTCGCAGCGTGTTTTGACCAAGCCGCTCTTCGCGTTCTTCCTCGTCCTCTTCCTGACGTGAAGTCGCATCCTCTCAGCGTTTTGAGCCAGCCGTCTTCGCCGTTCTTCTCTTCGTTCTCCTCATGCCGTAGAAGTCGAACCCTCTCAGCGTTCCGAGCGAGGCGAGCCTCTCTCTGGTCTTCATTCTCATGCTGCCTACGGATTCGAGCTCTTTCGGAATTGCGTGATAAGCGAGATTCCCTTTGTTCTTGCGACTCTAGCGCACGCCTTCTCCTTCTCTGATCAGCTTCGCGCTGTAGCCTACTTTCCCGCTCCTCTGCTGTCTCATTTTCCCTTCTTGCTCTTTTCCTGGCTGCTTCCCTTTCTTGGTAACTTAGAGGTGTTCCACCATTTTCGTGTTCAGGTTCTCTTCTTCGCCTAATAATTTATGCGTTGTTGCTTATAAAAGTAGTTTGATCATTTTTTCTCGTACAGATGAATGCCTACACATTGTAAATGCTATTTTTCCCGATGGGGGATCATCTAGTTGTATTATCTGTAGACTTGTAGGGGACCTGATGGGCTTACTATGGCAGAAATTCCCCCCCCCCCCGAGCTTTCAGCGTTGAGAGTTGGTGATCGGACATGTGATGAGGCGATAAAGCGATTAGTATATAAGGAAAGGATATACACCGATCAGACGATTAGGCGAATCGGCGATTGGGCGGATAGGCGATGGCTCAGCGTACGGAGCGAAAAAATTGATACGTGACTACTCGCTTACTTGCCTAATCTCCTGATCGATGTATGTCGTTTGCTTGTAGACTAATCGCCCTGTCGCCTTCGCATATACTTTATTGTCAGCGTAGTTCAGCACGGACTCCCAGAGACTATGCTAGGGTGTGAATATAACGGATGCATCAGTATGTTCACTCCAAAAATCCACTATGGACTGTGAAGTACACCACTTCGAAAGTAGAGTAACCAAAGGCTCAGAGATGATTATATAATTAGTACTGATTATAAGGGTTATTACGAAATTTGTTAGATCTTCTCATGGGTTCTCCTTATGAACAGTTACCTTCCTCTTTCTTGAATTGGTTGTGATGACATTGCCGCGATAGTACCGTTCACAGGAATGTTGAAACACCAAATGAATGGCAAGCGTAGCAGAATCAATGCAAGGGTGGCGTGATATTGAAATCATTACTAATAGCAGATGTATTATGCTGGTTGTTTCATTTAACCAAGCACAATTACTTAAGTTCTTTTTTCTTGTCATGATAACATTTAGCTGTTTATCAGTGAATTTATTTTGCGACGTGAATATGCTATCCAGCACAGTGGTTCTATGCCCAATTATGGGAACTCACGGTCTTATTCTGACACAACCGTATTCATAAATATGATCAGGTCTCGCTAATTATACCTCAAATATCAATTCTACTTCAGCATTACGAAGGATACCACCCGGCGTAAATGCATTATGGTGTAGGTTGCTCTCTAGTAACGATAAATATCAACCATAACTTCGAGGTACAATCACATACATACCTGAAAAAATAGCTGCGCATGCTAAATGGTTGTGTAACATTGCGGGTGTGATCAACATGAAAATCTCTTCCGAGGTGGTTTGCTTGCAGATGGGTACCCTTTACCATATATCTACCATCAAGGCGAAAATCGGTTAAAAACGGCAATTGTCGAGGGTTCCCGCCAGTTCAGTTGCTCTCCGCGCACATTCACTGTCGCCAGCCGCGGGCCATTTCTGCTCTCCGCCTCTACATTCACTCTCGACCTTACTCTCCCAGTAGAGAGCCATGAATCCTCGAACGTTACCACACACATGCTAACCCCCATCGAAACTTTTCCATTGTGTGTGCATTTTTTTGAAGGAAAAAGTGGAGGAGAGATAAAATGAAGTTCCCAAAATTTCTTGAAACTTTCTCATCTTCTCTCACTCTCCTTACCTCCCCTCCCCCTACAGCCCCTCGGCTGCCAGAGTAGAACCATATGAATGACCGAGAGGGCCCAGTAGGTGTTTATATAGCCGTTCTGGGTTATCACAATCATGCTTGTGCAAAACATTGATAGCGCATACCTTCCTTTCCTGCGCAAGCTTTCTATCCTCCGCTATGGTCCCTTCCTCCTGTGACACCAACACCTCGTGGAAGTGACGCGTATGCAACACAATGGTGTTTCATACAGTAGAAGGGACACAATCATGATATGACGGTAGATTTTTCGCTTCCCTTCCTCATCCTCCCTTCCTCTCTCCACTGCCCTCCAGCTGCCACTGCAGCACCATGTGGAATGAACGGAAGTGTGCTAAGCAGGTGTTTATATAGCCCTAAGAGTGTTATCACAACTATCCTGCTACAAAACATTGATATCTCAAATCCTGTAAGCTACCCGATTTGTTAGCGGTTTGTTTATCCCATGAGCTTCCTTCTCACTCACTTCATTTTGCGGACGGACACACATACATACATACACACACGCACACACACACACACACACACACACACATACAGATACACAAACCGACACACAAAGTTAGCGCTTTATATAATAGAAGGATAAATTCAAATGATTATAACTTTCTTCAAATATGACGAATTTTCAATCTGAAAGCAGATTTGGGAGTTTTGTGAAGAGCTTTTCTAATCAGTATTGAAATTACAAAATTTATAAGAAATAACAAATTTAGATCAATTAACGAGGAAAATTCATGATGAGCACGAGTTTTTACACTTTCCGAAGCCATAACTTGCTTCATTTTCGTCAAATTCGAAAAGTTAATATGGCATACAAAACTAGAAGATTTTCTCTATCAAACGGTTGCTAAAGCAGCTTTATACGTCCAGTATTCAAAAAATGGCCACGTTGAGGATTTTTGCAAAATTAATTCGTGATGAGTGCGAGTTTTTACGCTTTCCAAAGCCATAACTCCGTTCATTTTCATCAAATCTGAAAAGTTAATACGTCATCAAAACTAGAAGATTTGCTCTATCAAATGGTTGCTAAAGCAGCTTATACGTCCAGTATTTAAAAAATGGCCACGTTGAGGATTTTTGCCCGAGTACCGCCGAAAGGTACTTTTTCGCTGCATTGGCACTATTTCAACGACTATAGGTGCCTTCAGGGGCAATTTCGTACAAAAATGGGAGCAGATTCGGAACCCACGAGCTTTTTCTTTCCAACAAGTGTAAAATTGTTTGACGAATCTCAACTTCAACACTTATATGTTCATGAATTTGACGCTGAAGGCTGCATTTCTTGTTGAATAGTGTACTCCTCCCTGTAATTTCACATGAACCCTTTCAGAATCCTCTTGATTTTTCCTGAATTGAGATTCTTTCTCCAGAGAGCCGTAGTTGAAGCGCGCGCAACCAACTGGGCCCACTCTGGGATGCGCCGTGTGCTTCACATCCCTTCAGATTTGAGGACTCAAAAGATAAAATATCCCTTGGAAAACGTGCGAATTTCGGATTCTTTAACTTGTGTGGTGATAAAACACTGAAGTAACTAAGAATTGCTAAGCGGACCTCAGAATCACGAAGATTTTGTGTGGGCGGAATATCATTGTTATTGGAAATCCTCTGGCCTGGCATCGACTCGATCCTTGATGTTTGTCCTCCGACGATGATCCTACTGCATCAATCGGCCCGATCTCTTCCCCAGCGGGCCAATACGACCCCCCCCCTGTGACATGTCGAGGATTCCTCAACGCACGCTTGACCCT